GATATAAATTGGTAGAATAGCGACAAGACTACAGGCCACTAGATATTACATATTAAAGAGTAAAAGTAAGAATGAAGGAGTTGTGTGTTTAAAACAGACAAATGTATTTGCTTGGCTAAAACAAGAAAGTCTGAAAATAATGAAAAAGCAGCTGTAAAAGAGGCAGGAAAGATGTATGGCCTTGAAGGGACACTAGAGGACTTTGACTTATATAGGTACATTTATATAGGTAATGTGGAATTGGTATAGATACTTACAGAAAGCCACAGGAATATCGTTTGCTAAGTTTATCCTAGTGTAAACTAAAGGCCAATGGTTCAGCTGGGAGCTTCCTGCAATTGACTTAAGAATGGTGTGAAAGAGTGAAACTCAAAGTGATAATGCAGAGAAAGAATGTACAGGCCTTAGTATTACTGAATATAGACAGATAAAAAAAAGAGTCAAAATTTCACCCAATTACCAGTTTGACAATTGAAGATTTCAAGAAAGAAATGAAGAATTTTGTTCTAAACCACACAGATGACTTAAGAAAAAATGAAATAAATTTCTGAAGAATGCATTACTTGCACTTCCTATTAGTTATTGAATGCTACCCTAAATAATAGGCACTATTTTTTTAATAAAAAGTAAAATTTTTTCCCTTTGTCTTTGGCAAACACCTGAGTGTGTTATAACTTAATAGTTGGATGGCTTGTTATCCTCCTTTTACCAAGTCTACACTCTATTTTGTCTCCACATCCATTTAACATGTGATTCTTACAAATTTTAACAGTTGAAAAACAAACAGCTGGCTGAACTCTCTGCTTCAGTCTTTTGGATACTTCACTTCTTGGTAACTAATCAGTATTTTGATACTGCTATAGTAATAACAGGAAATGATGTGTTAAAATCTGGATCTCCAGCCACAGATGAAGGCCAGTGTAAAGGGGACAGCTAGTCTCAGAATAAAGTCTATTAAGACAGTTTTGAGTATTCTTTCTAGGACCACAGGGAGAGGATGGTAATTTGTTCTCAACATCAGAAAAGTGAATACATCATGGAAGAACATCTTATGGTGATCACTGAACTGCACTGCATTGGTGGAAAGCTGTTGGCTACAAATTTAGTAATTAAAACAACTACATTGGTTATATTCTCTAATGCTTTAACACATTTTGCAAATTTTATCATTTTTAAAAGCTAACCAATAAAATTAAAACTAATAACCTGGAATTCAATTAAAACATATAATAAACAAATATATAAAAGCAATATATTAAAAAACCAATTTTTTACTAGTTAAGAATTTTATTGCAGTTACAATCTAAAAACACTAGATAAATTATTAAATATTATATATATTTGATTCATAAAAATTTACACTGTAGTGTAATAATATGTACTAAATCAAAAGTCATATGTCTAAAATAGCAGATAGCATGGTGTCCAAAATCACTTTTCAAGATGTCTGTGTTTTAATCGTTGAACACTTTCAAATGAGAGTAAATGTACAAAACATCACTTGGTGCCGAAAACACAAATAATCTGTTTCAAATTAATTGCTACTCATATAAAAACAATGATAGCCTGGATTCAAGAAAAGGCTTGAAAAGTGACCGGCTATTACAGACAGTCTTTCTTTCCAAAATTCTTCCTCCTCCACAAAGTCTTCTTTAGTTTCACCTGTATCTTCCTGAACAGGAAATAAACTCTCTTTTCCTCGACACTCTCATTAACCAATTAGAGATCTTGCCACTTTCTAATTTCTGATTTGGTTGGTTAGCAACCTATTATTTCTTTAGTAGCCTGAAAAGCAGGTCTGCATCAGATTTATCTTGGTTTCCTTATTACATCTAATTCAACGACAAAAAAATCAGTTGAATGAACTAGTCCATTTAGAGTTGTGTATTTATTAGTGTTCTATGACTGTATTTTAAAGATCAATAATTTTTTAGAGTTTGTGACATATCCTCAGCTAATAAAATGATTGAAAATATACCTAGATTACATGTGAAATTAAAAATTTTAATCTTATAACTACTCAAAAGTTATTACTGACTGCAAATGAATCAGTAAACTTGCTATAGTTGTTTTATTAACTGTTACAATGGTTTTTCCAACCTTAGTTTTTTCTCAGGTCCTATACAGTAAGAAATATAATTACTTCAAATCTAGTCTCTTTTAGGTGATTCCTATTTGAAACAGGGAGAACAAACTATTTTTTGTTAGCTTTATTGAGGTCTAATTCACATAAACTGCATACATCTAAAATATACAATTTGATGAGTTTTGGCACTTGTATATACCTGTGAAACCATTACTAAATCAGGATAATGAACATTTCCATCATCCTCCAGAACTGTCTACCGCTTCTTTACCCATTCCCAATCCTGCACAACCACTGATCTGCTTTCTGTCACTACAGGTTAGTCTCTATTTTCTAACACTTTATAAAAAATAGAATCATATGTATGTACTCATTTCTGTACAGCTTCTTTCTCCTAACATAACTATTTTGGAAATTTATCCTTGTAGTTGCATCTTGTTCATTTTACTGCTGAGTAGTATTTTGTTATATGGATATACCACCATTCATTTATGCATTCTCTTGTTTATCTATATTTGAGTTGTTTCCAGTTTTGAGGTATTACAACTGCTAAAACTGCTATAACATTAATGTACAAGTCTTTGTATGGATATATGCTTTCTTTTCTCTTGGATAAATACATAGGAATGGAATGACTTTTTAAGAAACTACCAAACTGTCCTCCAAAGTGGTTATACATTAATTACATCTTCACCAGCAATGTGAGGTCCAGTTTCTCCACCATTTTTGCTAGCACTTAGAATTATCTTTTTAATTATAGTCATTCTAGTCATTCTATGTAGTGATATCTCATTGTGGTTTAAATTTGCATTTCACTAATGTCTAAAGAAGTTGAGCACCTTTTCATATGCTTACTTGCCAATCATATATATTCCTTGGCAAAGTGACTGTTCAAATCTTTTGCTCATTTTCTTCTTCTTACTGTTGAGTTGTAACAGTTCTTTATATATTTTGATACAATTCTTGGTCACATACATAATTTGCACTCTTAAATGAAATGCATCTGTTTTAGATACTTATGCTTTGTTAATGTAATACATGGTCTAGCTGTATCTTAAATTATCCTTATGATAAGGGGAAACATTATCCTCATACTCTTCAGCTACCAACTTTTCCCATGCCTATAAGATGGTCAGCCCAATGGCATATGAGGAAAAAAAAAAGAAACTGAGTAAAAGTAGAATACATACCAATTTTCTCAGCATTCTTTTTAATACCTCCTAATTTTAGGAGTCTCTTAAACAAACTATCAGCAGTAGGAAATAACAGACTGAATCATGTAAATAGTAACTGGTCCTCCTCCTTTTATTTATTTTTTTCCCCTAAGCAAATTTTTAAAAAGCAGTAAGTAGTAACACAACCTGCTATACTTTTTAAAATTAGATTTTTCTCTTAGACTAAGACCCTGTTGTTTACACGACTGATTTCCTTATCAGTCTAAAGCAAAGCATCAGTCTAGCGTATATTTCTATTATTTCCTCAATTCTCTTCATTTCCTTTAGTTTTTATCCACGTGTTTTCCTTCAATCCTCTTTTCTACCCTTCCCAGCATCCCACAACTATATTCTGCTTAATTTGGTGATTCCAAATAAGTTTTGGTTACAGACTTTATGGTGACCCAATAAGTCACCTACCATGTTTTTTACTTCAAAGACAACAAAACGAAAATAATAATAAAACTCTTTCTGGAACTCATAGAAAGAAAAGCAAAGTTTTTGATGAGAAAAAGTAAAACCTGTTTGTTTGTTTGTTTTAAATAGTATCCAAGTTAATTAGTACTCTGCCAGAATAAAGCAACCACACTATTATTTTTAAAAACTTTACCATTTAAGACATAGGTCTACCCAGCAATGCACAAACCGATACTTCCCAAGTAAGAGCTAATCTGTGGCTAAATAATCATCTCCCCAAAAAGTAACAGATATAGGAGGAAAGAAGTGTACAGAATCAAATCTACTTATTTTAAACCATGGAAAGAAACACATTCCCATGTGTTTCTTTAAAATCTTTTTATATATAAAGACAATTTCATATATTTAAAAAATTTTTACAGCACATACTATCACTCAGGGAATGCTACAGTGTCATACACAAATTTGAAACTAATTCTTCTATAAGTATCACCAGAATAGAAATAAACAGCAGATTATACTGGCAATTTCTAACATATCTTCAGGATATAGACACCCCTAGTGTTGTATTTTTTTGAAGTAAATATGAGACAATTAATTATATTCCCCAAATCAGATTGGTTCTCATTACATACCTAATGCTAAGTTTACTTTGACACTGCTTAAAAAAAGATCCAGTATTAAAAAAATAAACTTCCTCTGGGTAGAATAAAGAATAAGTTTGACCTATTAAAGATAATATATATTGATAAAACATAGTTTTGTTCCCAAAAATGCAATAGGGATGGCCTGTGGCTCACTTGGGAGAGTGTGGTAGTGATAACACCAAATCAAGGGTTAAGATCCCCTTACTAGTCATCTTTAAAAAAAAAAATGCAATAGACCATTACTCTAATGCATGATCACTATATGAAATAATCACCTGGTTAGTAAAAAATTTTGTACACCTTGAAATTTTTAGTTCAACTGGTTTTCTTTTGATATAGGGGAAATGTAACAATTGGCTTCAAATCTGTTTTTAGTAGTGTAAAATATGTGAGCTTTATTATGTTAAAGAAAATAAAGATAATAGGACCAAAAATTTATTTATCAACATCGCAATAAAATACTTTCCAATGTATACAAAATTGCAAAATAACTGATGCTTCTCTCAATAAAGATACCTCTCATAATATTTAATTACAGGATAAAACAAATATATGTTTAATGAGTTGTTCTATTTTAAAGTCACCTTATTGATCGATACATCATGAAATCAATAGTTGTACATCGAGGAAATTTACCAATGGAACTTTCTTCCACTGGTGTGTATATTTTAATTTGTCTCATGTGGGTATCTCTTCCATTTTGATGATTGGCTAGAACAGCAATCTGTATCATAAATGTGCGAGTTGGCTTCTTATGATTATCAGTTAAGGGAACATGAATCCATCCACTTGGTTCCACCAATTCAAGTTGCTGCAAGAAAAAAAAAGATTATACCCAATGAATATAATTTATGATAACGCATTCTAAAATTAACTTATAATTAACATTTTTCTCACTGAGAGAAAGACAACATGATAATAACCATTGCCAGTTATTGGGTACTTTTATCATGGTCTCCTTTTACAGTCGCTAAGCACTTTACATGTACCATCTTCATAGACAAAATAAAACTTGTACAATTTACACAATATTAAAAAGCACAAGTCACAGCAGCCTTTAAAAATATATGAAACATTTTGCATAGATTAAAATATACATATGATTTTATAAAAACCACACATTTATACAGATTATTTCTTTATAGAAATAAAAGTGGCTGATGTGAAAAATGATAGTGAAATGCTGCTACTCCTGTTGACAAAAACACATATTTCTGGCTTCCTGTGTTCAGAAATACAAAATGCTATTAAATAAAGAATATCGCCTTTAACGTCAACAGAATGAGCTTGAATGACAGTTCTATATTTTATGAACTATTTGAGCTTGGGCATATTACTTAATCAATCTGAGCCTGAATTATATCATTTACAAAAAGGGAATAATATCACCCTCCTCATAGGGATATTGGAAAGATTAAATAAAATAATGTATATAAAGAAGCAAACATAATATCTGACATATAACAAGTATTCAATAAATTTTTTAAACCAAAAGTTATATAAGACGACTGCCTAAATAATCAAAACATTTAAAATATTAAGGCACTTTACAGAATTTTACTACTCTTTGAAGATTGTATATCCTTAATTTTAAATGAGATTATGCACCTTCTTTGGGGAGGGAGGTTCCCTGATTCTTTGGGAGAATCATATTTATTAATTAGTCACTTTTCTCCAGATAAACAATCCCTGGAAATACTTGGAAGAAGCATTAATCTTTTCAAGCCATTAAAGTAAAGGATGTAAAGTATACTATGTAGTACGTAAAAGAGTTGTACTGCTGTCAAAATATCTAACATAAGCAGATAGTAACTACATAGCTTCTAAGGATATTTATTAACATTCAACAACAAGTGAGCAAAATTCTACACAAAACAAAAACATATTCAACTTCAAAAACATAGGAATGGGTTAGGCAATTTCTCATTTAAGAACACAGCCCCTTGAGGCAGTGCCATACTCTATAACATAGACATATAACTGCTCCTATTCATAAAAAATCATATATACTCACATAAACTCACTCCCTTCTATAAGGAAGAATTAGACATGTATAAAAGTATACAACCAGTAGAAAACCATGCTGCTACATGTAGGAAAAAAAAAATCTATTATACTTTTGGTATATTTTATTTCAAGGACCATGCCTAATACATCCAAATTCATGTAACAATAAATCAGATTCTATAAAACTATAATAATATTAACAAAAGATATTCAGTCATTAGATAAGCATAAGGCAAAGCTTTTTTATTGGAAAATAAGTGATTTATCTATCTAAATGATAATCTAAACTTAAAATCTATATTTCTAATGTTTTTCAATAAGAAATGCTGTGTAAACACCAGATAAATTTTTTAATTCGAAAATATTTTATTTTAATCAAGACTCCAAACTGTGGAAGAAAAATCTTAAGTCAAAAGGTAAACCTAAATTTCTAAAAATTTCCATAAAGTTATAAAGTGGTTTTTAAAAGGTAAGTATTGATTTTTAAATTATCCTAATTATTGAACACATATGAACTATATGCAGCACAGAAAATACAGGTTTATCTTATGAACACACCAATGGCAAGAGTATCAAAAAATCTAAATCTGGATTCCATTAGTTACCTTAGAAAAACTATTTAGGAACACCACTGTATCTTCTTCTTTTCCCTTCCCCTCCCCTTCTTTTCTTTCCTGCCCTTCTCTTCCCTCTATTTCTTTTCTTCTTCCTTTCTTCTTCTTTTCCTCCCTTCCTCCTTTCTTCCATTCATTTTTTATGGTGAAGACAGAATTAGAGAGGAGGCAAGAGAAAGAGAACCAGAATCTTTAAAAAAAAAAAGCGGTTATTTTTAGGATTAATGATTTCTTCTTTTAATTACAAAATTTTTTTTAAAAAGATCAATTTCTACTTCTCACGGTATTTTTAGTTTGTGGATTTTTATAAGACTTCCATTAGCACTAACTTAAAGAAAAAGTCAGAGACCCAATATATCTGGTTTCTATCACTAACCAGGCAACAAATAGTTATTGAGTACTTAAAATTTAAGGTATTGTTCTTAGTTAAGCAAACAAAAATGAGTAAGGCCTTCTTAACCTTAAAGAAAAAAAAATGTTAGAGGCAGACAGACAAACTCTCTAGCTTTACTCAATATCCTCCTAAATAAAATAAAAGGATTAGACAAGATATCATCCAATGTCCCTCCAATGTCCCTTCCATTCAAAGATTCTAAACAAAAGAAGATGTGGTAGGCAAATAATGGGCCCCCAACAACGTCCATATCCTTCTCCCAAAATTGTGAATATGTTAATTTACATGACAAAAGAGACGTTACGTATGTGATTAACTTAAAGATTCTGGGCTGGGAAGATTACCCTGGATTATCTGGGTGGATCGAATATAATCACAGGGGTCCTTATAAGAGGGAGGCAGGAGAGACATAGAAAGAGATGTGATGATAAAAGCAAAGGTTGGAATGATGCAGCCAGAAGCCAATGAATGAGCACAGCCCCTAGAAACTAGAAAAGGCAGGGAAACAATTCTCTCCTAGAGTCTCCAGAAAAGAATGTAGCTTGCTGATACTTTAATTTTAAACTATAAGACCATTTTGGATTTCTGACCCCATGCATACATTCATTTATATGTTAAATTTTTATTTTTTTTATTTTTATTTATTTATTTATTTATTTTTGTCTTTTGTCTTTTTTCCGTGTCCGGCAACGGATCGCAAC